ATAACGAGAGAGGAATTAAGAATTTTTAGAATATAAGTGCACCACTAAAAGAAAAAGGAAAAAATGAAAACAATATCTCAGATGGTCACTTAACTTTGAATAGTTTACTTAGAAGTTCATTCAACTTTGAGTAGTTTACTTAGAAAGTCACTCAACTTTGTTTTATATAACTCAAAAGTCATTCAACTATTGACATTTCACTTAGAAAGTCACTCAACTATTGATATTTTACTTAGAAAGTCACTCAACTAATTTAAATAATATTTTCATTAATTTTATTGAAATACAATTTTTGTTTTGAACTAATTTTAAAAAAATAAATAAACAAATACTCATTTTAATTATTTTATTAAATTTTGTTGAATACAATTTTTTTAAAATTATTTTCTTGAAAAATAATAAAACATTGCCTTTTGCTATTGTGCGTCTTTTTGATTACTCTTTAATTACTTCTGATCAATTCTAACCTTCTTCTTTTTTTGGATAATTTTCCAGCATGTTTAATTCTTGTAAGACAATTGCTAGAATGGAAAAGCAATTTTTTTCGTCAATTGCTAATGTAAGTTTTTCAAAAAAAAAATTAGTTAAATAATTGGAGCGGATTAATAAGATAATTAAAATAGACATCTTATTATTTCTTAAAAGAACAGTGTAAAATAAAAATTAGATTTCAACAAAATTTAATGAATAAATTATTTAACTTTGTTGGATGACTTTCAAAGTGAATATTAATAGTTGAGTGACTTTTGAGTTATAAAACAAAGTTGAGTGACTTTCTAAGTGCATAACTCAAAGTTGAGTGACTTTATAAGTGAATTATTCAAAGTTAAGTGACTATCTGAGATATTAACTCGGAAAAAATGCATCAAGTGGAATTGATTGCTTGTCCTCTGTGTAAATAACTCAATATTCAACCAAATGCATCAATTAGCTTTTTTAAAGCATAGATATTAGATGCAGACACATATTTTATATCAATTTTAGAAAATACATACCTAAAATATCTAATTTTACAAAGAGTACGCAAATTTACGCATCTCATTTTTAATATGTAAATTTGCTACTAATTGGAATCACATGTTCTTCTATATACTCTATGCTCGAAGCACTGGAATGATCTGAATGTATTATCGACTAGCTGCATCCCTCACTGGGATGGACGAATTTACTACTTGGCTCCTTGGATTTGGAAAAGACTTTTGAAAGTTGAAAATGACTCATCCGTGCCTTCAAGGTCTAGCTATGAATATGGTTTAGGAAAAGGTCAGATCGTAAATATCTATTGTGTGTAGTCTTATCTTGTACTATTTTATAAGAGACTATTTCCACAAATTGAATATGTTACCTCCTGATTATATGACAATAACTTTATCGATTACATCAAGCTTTCCTAAGGGACAAAACATTAAAATCAAATAAATAAAGGGGACACAAAAAAAAAGATAAGGGACTTTCAACCAATCACATATTGATAAGCTTTGCTGAATATATTATAAGGGGACTCATGAAATCTTTGGCTATCCACATATTATTCTTCTTTTATTGAACCAAAAATAAAAAAAAAGAAAGAAAATCATGCAATCATTAACTATCCACATTATTATAAATTTCATTAAGTTAAGCTCCCGTTTGATCATAAATTTTGAAGTTAAAACTTTTAAAGTTTAGTTTTTTAAATTGTGTTTGGACATGCATTTCAACTGAATTTTTTTAAATTGTGAGGGGAAGTCTCAAAAATCTAAAGACTAATTTGAACGAGTTTTTAATAACTTGAAAATATCTTAACATTAGACTTCAAATTTCATAGCTAAACAGATATTTGAAAATAAATTTTAAATTTACAGTGAAACGCTAGCTAAAGCTCATGTTCCCCCCTATAAATTGCAGCCATCAGCTACCTAGACTGTTCAGAGAGAAAAAAAGAAAGAAATAAACAAGTACATTAACTGTTAGTTGAAATTACCAAAAAGAAGAAAAAATGGCTAGCTTTGAAGAGACATTCACTCAACCCAAAACCACTGTTCCAAAAAAGAGCAGTGGAATTATAGGTTATGATGTACCTGAAGGAGTGGACATTAGGGGAAGATATGATCCTGAATTTTCCAAGATTTTAACTAGGGGTGCTTTGCAATTTGTAGCTAGTTTGCAGAGGGAATTCAGGAATCATATCAAGTATGCTGTGGAGTGCAGGAGAGAGGCCAAAATGAGGTACAATAATGACGGTTTGCCGGGTTTTGATCCAACAACCAAATACATTAGGGAAGGAGAGTGGGTGTGTGCTCCTGTGCCGCAGGCTGTGGCTGATCGGAGGGTGGAGATTACCGGACCAGTCGATAGGAAGATGGTCATCGATGCCCTTAATTCTAGAGCCAAAGTTTTCATGGTATGCCATATCCCCTGTCGCATCTCCCTTCCCAAGTTAATAGTAGAACAGAAGAACTCTCATTTTAATATAACTAAGAAAAACGAAAAAAAGGCCAGTGTGAATTACATTGAAGGAAATAATTGAGCAAAACTAATGGTAGCACTAGACCTTTATGTAAGTAATTAACCTCAATTTGGAGTGGAAGCATATCCAGAATATGTGCATTTTGTTTTTCTTTCTGCATATCATTGCAATGCAGTTCATAATATAATATTCCACAGGCGGACTTTGAAGATGCACTGTCACCAAGCTGGGAGAATCTAATGAGAGGCCATATAAATTTGAGGGATGCAGTCAATAGAACAATAACATTCCATGATCAAGCCAGAAATAAAGTATATAAACTGAATGATCAGACAGCTAAGTTGTTTGTGCGCCCAAGAGGGTGGCACTTGCCAGAAGCTCACATTTTCATTGATGGTGAGCCTGCCACGGGTTGCCTTGTCGACTTCGGCCTCTACTTTTTCCACAACTATGCCAACTTCCGCAAGGCCCAAGGTCAAGGATCTGGACCCTTTTTCTATCTACCCAAAATGGAACATTCTAGGTTAGTTGTGTTCTTGTTAGTAAATTTATATAGTCTTGAGAATTATATTCCAAGAAAATGTAGCAGTTTTTGTTTTGTTTGATCAGGGAAGCTAGGATATGGAACAATGTGTTTGAGAGGGCAGAGAAATGGGTTAGAATTGAGAAAGGAAGCATTAGGGCTACTGCCCTAATTGAAACACTTCCAGCTGTGTTTCAGATGAATGAAATCTTGTATGAACTGAGGGACCATTCTGTTGGCCTCAATTGTGGTAGATGGGATTACATTTTCAGCTACATCAAGACATTCCAGGGTCACCCTGATCGATTGCTCCCCGATAGGACACAAGTTGGCATGGCTCAACACTTTATGAGGAGTTACTCCGACTTACTCATCCACACTTGTCATAAGCGTGGAGTCCATGCTATGGGAGGCATGGTATGTCTACATCAATTCAGTTTCTTTTTTTAATTCTATGTTCTTTAAATAATTTTACACAAGCATATTTGTATTATTTTTATTAGGAACTCAAATAAAATGTATAAATTACCAAACATATGGACACGAAAACATTTGCATGCTAGTAGGATGTTATGATATTAAAAAGTATGCACATGATCGTTCCCACATTGGAGCGATGTAGGAGTACAATAGGAAATACTTTAGTGGTTGTTGATATGTATGAAAGATCCAAAGCCGGTTAGTGTGTTGGCTGCAATATTGTCATCCTTTGATACTCGTGTGATTATCAACCCAACACCAATTTTTTATTTTTTATTAGTTTTACAATATCTGGAAAAAAACAACATCTGGAGTAATTTCCAATTTCTGCATTAGGTTAATTTGGAATCTTCTTGTACATGATCAAATTGATGCATAATAGCTGTGCTGGATCCTTGAAACAGGCAGCTCATATTCCAATTAGAGATGATCCGGCAGCTAATGAGGCAGCATTGGAACTTGTAAGGAAGGATAAGCTAAGAGAAGTGACGGCGGGGCATGATGGGACATGGGTTACTCACCCTGGCCTAGTTCCAGCATGCATGGAAGTCTTCACTAACAACATGGGCAATTCCCCAAACCAAATCCATTCCATGAAGCGCCAAGATGCATCCATTCTAGATGAAGAAGACCTGCTGCAGAGGCCGAGAGGGGTCTGTACCTTGGAGTGCCTTCGGCTGAACACCCGAGTGGGAATTCAGTACTTGGCAGCCTGGCTGACAGGCCTTGGTTGTGTCCCTCTTTACAACTTCATGGAGGAAGCTGCCGCAGCTGAGATTAGCAGAGTCCAGAATTGGCAGTGGCTGAAATATGGTGTGGAATTGGATGGGGATGGACTTGGGGTGAAAGTGAACTTAGACCTGTTTGGAAGAGTGGTTGAGGATGAAATGGCTAGGATTGAGAGAGAAGTTGGAAAGGAGAAATTCAAGAAGGGAATGTACGAGGTGGCTTGCAAGTTATTCACAAGGCAATGCACTGCACCAGTTTTGGATGATTTTATGACTCTTGATGCCTACAATAACATTGTCATACATCATCCTATTGGATCATCCCGGCTCTAAATTTTGCAGCTTTTCTTTTCCTATTAATTTGTTGTCCCTGTATTGTTAATTAGTATTGCCATCTTCCCCAGTAATGATGAAAAGAAAGGGAATTTTGCCTTTGAGGGGATTGCTGATTATCCAAAGACTCTCTAGTTCAGCTTTGGTTTTCAATTTATCTGTTATTTGTATCTATCCATTGTAATAAAGGAAATTGTTCATTTTGTAGTCCTCATGAATTTTTTAGTACGTACCTTGTTCGAACATCTTTCATGTGTTTTGTCTTCTATATGAGCGTAGCACAGTCCGCTAAAAACATGCATTTTAACTAGTGCTAACATTGTCTAAATTCAAAATACTATAGTCTACATGAATTTTTATTATAGTTCCACGCAAAGTCTAGAGGATTTTCAGCTCACAGCCTGATTATGTGTGTGTTACGCGAGATTGAGAACTTCTAAAATTGTTTAAAATCAGTTTATCTGTAAATATATTGCACAAAGGTATATGTATAAAAGAAGGTGTTATTTTCACCCAGCAGCCAGTTTCACCATATTATTTAAGTTATATTCATTTTTTTCAAATTATTTAATTGGCTGTCGGTGTTACAAACTTGAGACAAAGCACATACTGCACTTGAGCTCTTGCCAAAGCATTGACAAACATTAAAACAAGGTTTCTAGACAGGTGCATGCAATGGCGGAGACAGGATTTTCAATAGGGAGATTCAAAATATAAAGATGCAAGCATACGAAGGAGTCAAGAGGATTCAAGATCTGCCATATAATAAATTAATTTTGACCATATATACACTATCTAAGAAAATAACGGCTCACTCGAATAATGGGGTTATTGGGTACAAGTGAACGATATTAAGGAAATAAAGGAAGTAGAAAAGAAAAGAACCTGCTTGAGCTCTTGACGAGGCAAATTGGACATGGCAAATAGCTTGGTGGCATCTCCTCCAGTGAGGCTTTCATCTACATCTGTACCCAATAACCCCATTATTCAAAATTCCTTTGTTCTCTTATTTGAATAACACATAAAAATGAGAGAATATATTACCTGAATTAGCGAAACTGAACCATTCTTGATAGATCTTCTGAAGTGAACACTTAAATGCTCAACTACAAGGAATCAATTCCTTTGATTGAATGCTCAAACTAACTATTACAATGGAAAGCTAAAGATCAACAAGGTAGTTGAAAGGATAACAAGGAATTGTAACAAAGGATAGAAGGGAGATGAGAAGCGTAGACTAAAAAAGGGGGGTGAGAATAACAGATAGAACGGGAATGAGGAGATACTGACACTCCACCAATATTCGCATAAACCTATTTTGCTCCCACAAGTATCTATATATCAACTCGGAACCCAAACAGAGCCACTTAATATGGTATTGGTGGGCTGCTTTGTCAATACCGGTACAGACTCATTCATGACAATACCTCAAGCCCTAATAAGATCCTTGTCCTCAAGGTTCGGTAGTAAAGCCTAAATCACCAACATCATTGTCAGACTGAACATAGGCAAAGAACTTCCTCACATTCTATGAATCCGTGATAGACCTTGGGACACTACTTTGGTGTCCAAAGAATCTCCTTAGCAATACCCTACAAAACAATTCCATAAGAAGAGTCTTGTAGCCTGCTACTGCTACAACATTGGCTCCGGTAGGCTCACAGAGATTTGTAGATGCTTGCATTATTTTGTCACTCTCCTAATGGCCACATGGTAGTATTAACATATGAGAAGGGGCAAAATATTTGACTCTACTTTGTTGTGCTCCCTTACTATAAAGCCATATACACCGTTATGAATGCACTCATGGGTTAGGGAAGTGAAGTAATATTCATAACCTCGGAAACATTTTCTGCATCAAACTTGCGCATAGCAACTCAAATGCACAGTGAAAAGTAAGCTGAACTCTTGTATATAATAAATCATTGTTTCGCAAGGTACAAAGTGATCAAAATGTGTGTTGACCAACTGCTTTGTTTGTTCCTAACGTCCTTCAAGATCAGTTGTGTGCACTTGAAGAATTCCTGAAGTACCTCCTTTCAGCAAGCAAGCCAAGTAGCCCAAACCAAGTGTCATAGAAGAAGTGAATTTCTCACGCGATATAGGAGGAGCCAACTGGCACATGTTGACTGAAGGCAACGTCTTGAGCAAGGAATAATGTCATAATACTGTTAAATGCAGAGGCATAGCTGGGGAACACCCTACATAAGAGTAAGCAGTAAAAGTAAATCTAAAGGGCCAGCAAGATTGGTTGTCGCCATCCACAAATCTGGTCGGGTGAGTTCATATGTTGCGACACCAGTACTAATAAGCTTTGTCCCTGTAAGTTATCTTGACAATTTCACTCAGTTGTAAGTTAGTACTTGAATAAGCTGCACATTTTGTAGCTATCCATGTACCAATATTGTATTTCTTAAGTATTACAATAGCACAAGGAATGAAAGTCAAGGAAGAAGTCTTGTTCTTGAGAGAAACCATCAGAAGAAAGTGACAAGCATTGAACATAGCAGAACCCCCACAAATGGAATCCATATCAATGAACGGATTTGCATTGCAAATGACTATCAAGAGTATAACGTATCCATGTTGTATTAAGAAGAACAAATTGAATACTCGTTCATAAGCCTCTATCTGTCCAATCCAACAAACAACACATTCCTTGGTATTCTATCCAAAACCGTGCGACAATCAGACAACTGTCCTCTGATACATTGCAATCAGAGTATATCCACACTCAATGTAAGCCTTGCAAGGAATGAGAATATATCACTAATAATTACACCAGCAATTCGATGTTCAATTATCTCACTAATGTAAGATCCCACCCTTTAGTCATAGAGTAAGAGCATTCAGATGTGCAAAGTATGCTAGCATGTCTTAAATGACAGGAAATAATAGGAAGTACCTACGACGAGTCTGTACACTGATAGCGGACTGCCTCATGAAAACAAACTCAAAGCACCACATGCATTTCCTGCGGGCATCTCTAAGAAGAAAGGTCTCACCATGGCCAACAATTATGACACCACCAGCTTGAGCCCCAAAAGCAAGACTAGCACCAACACATGCACCATTCTCGTCAAATTCCAGCACGTACAAAAGATTACCACATTGCTTATCTATGCCGGAACACGATCGAAGAGAATGAACTGAGATAAATGCTTCGAACCAATAACAAGTGGATAAGCCATTTTTTATGCACTCACACATTGCTAGATCCCAAAATCGACTAAAGATGGCTGGTTGAAGAGACATTGAAAATCTCATGGTAAAACAGATTTATCATCAGTTACAACAAACTTCAGATGTCAAAATTGGCATTGTAATTCAAACTCATTTCGCTGGAGACTTTCATCAAACACTATCTCCTCAATATTTAATGATATTGTAACTCAAACAGATTTGCTTATAATCCCTCTGAATTATCCGCTACCAAATCAAATACAGTGTCAAATTTACCACAACGACGCTGTTCATAGATTAAATTATTTTGTGGATTGAATTTCACTTGAGGTTCCTGAGTGTTCATCTTCTGGGTAGAAGATTGGGGATAATATAAAATTCATGGTCCAGGCTTATTCATGAGTAACATTCTTGTTTTTTCTTGGTTCCGCAATAATACAAAATGTTCAGTTTTGATGAAAATAAAAAACTTGTAGAGAGTGATGGAATTGGAGTATTAAAGAAATCAGTGGAGAGAAACCATTTCGATATTATCTTTCTAGTGAATTTAAATGTAATGTGAAATTTGATGTGATTTGATAAGATTGAATCATTATGCAATAAATGGGTTGGTTATAGTCCCCTTAATATTTAATTGGGTTCAAATGGATGGATTAATATGAATTTTATCAGTAAATCATTTTTCATTTGTTTATATGTTGTTATAAAATTTGCTTAATTGCTTCCTAGACAAGGACAAGTTGGTAATTTACTGGGTAATTTTGCTTTTACGTTGCTTTGATTGGTAGTACAATTTGCTTTGAGAGTTGTCTGCTTCATGCTTTTTTCCTCTAATTCTCACGGTGTCATTTTGTTGGTAATATACTACTTTTTCAAAGTTGCATTTGCCCCTTTTTTTTGCACCATTTACCATCAAATCCATTGGTACACATTTTAATAATTAAACTGAAGTTTGAGCCTTTTTTAAATGTCTAAAAAGGCATAAAAGTTTTGTTATTAGGACTTTCCCGGACCCACTCATCCACCAGAATGTAATTTTTGTTATCTTTGAAGAAAAATTATTATTTCATGTAAAAGAATATTTTAAGATATTTCGCATTTGATTAAAATAGCGTAAAAAGTATTACAAATTACATCAATTAATAACTTACAACATTTAAAGGCATAAAAAAATTGGCCATATCAATGTCCTATAAATTGAGACATGAGAGGTAATATATAGTATTATTTAAAAATTACGTAAGAGGTACTACAAATTACAATAATTAGTAATTTAAAATATTTAAATATGTGTCGCATAAATTGAGAAATGAAATAATATATATATTGTTTCAATAAAATTACGTAAAAAATATTATAAATCACAATAATTAATAACTTAAAGTTTGAATAATTTCTCAAGTTCTATTTGTATCACATAAATTAAGAAAAAAAATATTTCCTCTGTTTCAATTTATGTGACACATTTTGTTTTTGAGAGTTAAGTTTGACCGAGAATTTGCTTATGAAATCTTCAATTTTTTAAAAATAAATTTATATATTTGTAAACTACGTAAAAAACACTATAAGTCACAATAATTGACTATTCAAATTATTTAAAAGATTTATGAAAAATTTACGATCAAAGATAGACTTGTATAAATCTCAAAATTCGGTATATATCACATTGAGACAGTGAATTATATTTTGGGTCTGTGCTGGCACGGGGTCCGTATCTAGTACTATATAGAAAATAGATAAATTTCATAAATATATAATAGAGTAGTTTTATTTGCATTAAATATAACTAAGTTTTTATTTACTTAAAATAATAGTAATTTGCAGTCCTTTTTTTGTGCTGAACTTCTGATAATAATGTGATAGTTTCCTCCTACGTTTTAAATCGCTTGGTCGAGTGAAACAGTAAGTCAGTTATTTCATATGTACTCTATTTGTTCATTTTAATTTTTCTTATATAGATTTGATCATTGTACTCTGAAAAATCTATTGATGTCTTAAGTTAATTATTTCATCTCTCTTACGATACCTTTTGGTCTTTTGAACTCGCGTCATTCTTGTGCTTTCATTTGATGTGGAGGTACCTATTATAAATGCACTTTTTCCTGGTAATCATGTTGCTTAAATAATAAATACGTCGGACATTGCTATATATATTCTTACAAAATGTATATGTTTATTTCAGTTTCAAGTACGGTACCTCCACTTCTCCCCATGATGCCATTTTTGGAATGCAGAAGATTGGTTACCAAGCATGGGTTTTAATTCAAATTTTGAATTATCATAAGATATGAGCAACAATGCTAGCAGACGATTTAACTGGACAAAATACGTCTGATATATATATATATATATATGATAGTATTTTATTATTAAAGCATGTGTACCAGTAGTATTGTACTCAATTAACTCGTCATGCTCAATTGTTTTCCTTCTCACAGTAACTTACAACGAACCCAACACTAGCATTTTGATTTTTTCCAAAATGATTTTCAATTTCATGTCTTGCTAATTTGACGGACGTTGGGTCCTCGACTCCTAGCTGAGCACATCTATTCCCTTCCAGTATCATATATCATACATTATATTACTATTACCAAAGCAGGGAAGAATTTAAGTCAAAAGTTGAATTACGAAAATACTCATTATCTATTAACTTATTTTCTCAAAATCATTGTTTTAAAAAATAATTGATAGGGTTTTTGCACTATGCTTTTCCTTTTGTCATTGTTTGTGTTTATAGCATATTCATTTTCATCTTGATGTAGAAATTGTCCGGCAACATTTTTGTGTTGAACTCTTGGAACTCAAGAATTAGTGGGTTTGACCTCCAATTTTGATCCTCCACGATATAGATTAATCATCGAGCTTCTTTAATTTCAAATAATTAGTTTTTATAAAATTCAAAATAGTTTGCGAGTTAGTTTGAATAAATTATAAATTTTCAAATAATATATATTGCTTTATATAATTATTAAATGTTATAAATATTCAAAAATTGTCTCAAAAAGATTTTAGTTTTACTTAAATATATGGTTAATTAGTTTAGTTAATTAATAGTTTATATTTTTGAATTAATTAGTTTATAATTAAGTTAATTATTTTAGTTCGTTAAGATTACGAAGCTCATTAATTAATTAACGGAAAAGGTCAGGCACTCAATTTTAAATGCCTTTGTAACTCACATAATTTTTTAATGCCTATTTTCACATTTACATGTCTTTTTTTTAGGAAGTACCCAAAATCCTTGATTCTTCGTGTGTTATACCCCATGGATCTGGCGCTCCGAAGCACTCAAATTTTTTATCTCAAATGAAGACCCCTGTCAGGCATTCTTCGGTCAGGCATTCTCAGGTCAGGCGTGCATCTTTCCAATTTCAAAGATGTCAAAGCCCATTTGAAATGAAGACCCATGTCAGGTGTTCTCGGGTCGGGCCTTTCTCAGGTCAAACGTTCTCAGGTCAGGCGTTTTCGGGTCAGGCATTCTCAAGTCAGGCGTTCTCAGGTCAGGCATTCTTGGGTCAGGCGTTCTCAGGTCAAGCGTCCTCGGGTCAGGCAATTTTCCGGTCAGGCATTCTAGAGTCAGGCATTCTCAAGTCAACCGCTCCTAGGTCAGGAGTCCTCAGGTCAGGTGTTCTCAGGTCAGACGTTCTCAGGTCAGGCGTTCTCAGGTCAGGCGTTCTCACACATTGACTGCCTTCGATAGACGAAAAAAACCCAAGCGGTCTAACCTAACCCTCAGGGCGGACCCCAACCGAAAGGAGCTAGACGGACTAAGGGTAAGCGAGATAAAGAAAGCAGCTGGCCCTATGTGTAAAAACTTACCGCGGGAGAGTCTTTCTCCAATGAGAATAAAGAAAGTTTTTGTGCAGGCGTCCTTAAGCGTTCTTAGGTCAGGCGTTCAACTTTATAATTTCAAAGATGTCAAAGCCCATTTGAAATTAAGACCCTTGTCAGGCATCCTCAAGTCATGCGTTCTTGGGTTAGGCGTTCTCAGGTCAGGCGTGCATCTTTCCAATTTCAAAGATGTCAAAGCCCATTTGAATGAGGACCCTTGTCAGGCGTTCTCGGGTCAGGCGTTCTCGAGTCAGGCGTTCTCAGGTCAGGCGTCCCTAGGTCAGGCGTTCTCAGGTCAGGCATCCTCAAATCAGGCGTTCTCAGGTCAGGCGTCCTCAAATCAGGCGTTCTCAGGTCAGGCGTTCTCGGGTCAGGCGTTCTCAGGTCAGGCATTCTCGGGTCAGGCGTTCTCGGGTCAGGCATTCTCAGGTCAGGCATTCTTGGGTCAGGCGTTCTCGGGTCAGGCGTTCTCAGGTCAGGCATTCTCGGGTCAGGCGTTCTCGGGTCAGGCATTCTCGGGTCAGGTGTTCTCACGTCAGGCGTCCTCGGGTCAGGAAATTTTTAACGCCTTTGTAACTCAAATTTTTTAATGCTTATTTTTGCATTTACAGGCCTTTTTTAGGAAGTACCCAAAATCCTTGATTCTTCGTGTGTTATATAGACCATAGTTCTGGCGCTCCAGAGCACTCAAATTTTTTATCTTAGATAAAGAATCCTGTCAGGAATTCTCTGGTCAGGCATTTTCGGGTCAGGCGTTCTCAGGTCAGGCATTCGCAGGTCAGGCGTCCTCAGGTCAGACGTTCTCAGGTCAGGCGTCCTCAGGTGTTCTTGGGTCATACGTTATCGGGTCAGGCGTTCTCAGGTCAGGCGTTCTCGAGTCAAGCATTTTCAGGTCAGGCGTGCTCAGGTCAGGCATTCTCAGGTCAGGCAGACATCTTTCCAATTTCAAAGATGTCAAGCCCATTTGAAATGAAGACCCCTATCAGGAGTTCTCGGGTTAGGCCTTTCTCAGGTCAGGCGTTCTCGGGTCAACTGTTCTCAAGTCAGGCGTCCTCAGGTCAGACAATTTTTTAACGCCTTTATAATAAGTTGGGGATGCACCATGTATACTCACACAATTTTTTTAACTCTTATTCCCGCATTTACATGCATTTTTTAAGGAATTACCCAAAATCCTTGATTCTTCGTGTGTTTCCCATGGATCTGGCGCTCTGTAGCACTCAAATTTTTTATCTCAAAAAACTTTATGAGGACTTTCGTAATGAGTTGAGAAACCACCACGTATACTCACACCATTTTTAATGTCTATTTCCGCATTTACAGGCTATTTTTTAGGAATTACCCAAATTTCTTAATTTTTCATGTATATTTAGCCCATTGATCTGACATCCCAGAGCACAAATTTTTTTTCTGAAAAACCTTTATGAAGACATTTGTAATAAGTTGGGGAACCACCACGTATACTCATACCATTTATAATACATATTTTCGCATTTACATGCCTTTTTTTTAGAGATTACCCAAAATCCTCAATTTTTTGTGTGTTATAGCCCATGGATCTAGCGTCCTGGAGCATAATTTTTTTTCTCAAAAACCTTTATGAGGACCTCTGCAATGAGTTTGGGAACCACTACGTATACTCACACTATTTTTAACACTTATTTTCGCATTTACAGGCCCTTTTTTAGAAATTACCCAGAA